GAATCTTGTGAGTCCGGCGCCCATGACATTCAAGTGGCTGCCGCGGCATGCTTTAAGAGGTGAGATGATTCGTACTGGCACTGGCTTCATGATGAATAATTTTGTGAGATGTGGGTGTTTTGGGTTGGGGGGAAGATATTTGTATAGGGTGTGGGTGGGGATATCCTATTTTTATATGGAGTCACAATTATTAAAGAGAATCTGTCGGAAGATTTCATTACTTGCAATTTCTTTCTTCCTTTGAATTCTATCCATCTCATCCTCTCTAGGAGAGACAGTTGTTGACCTAGCAAAAGAAGGGTTTGTTTGTTGTACAAGTTTTAAGATTCTTTCCTTCGCCATGTGCTGTAATAATTACTTTCCTTTCTGTATTAGGATAGTATTCTAGGATGGTTTAGGGTTTAGAGTTTAGCAATAAACAGAGACTTCTAAAACTCCTCCCTCTCGCTCATTCTTAATTTTTTTTTCCGATTATCTCTCTTCTTTAATTTGATTTCATGTCTATTTCCCAACAATCTTATGCATAATTCACAGGCTATACTTATCGGGTCGGGTGTGATGCAGAGGTGTGAGAGTAGACACACGGATGACATGATCGAGCCGCCTCACCTACGACTTTCTCCTCAGTAAGAGCCGACGTTTGGTGTTGAAGGGGAAATATTACTATTGTTGTGATTTACAAGCTATCAATACATTCCCTAGTCTCTAGCATATATCCCAGACCAAGTTTAATTTGAGATCGTCCCACTCAACATGGAACCCATTAAAATGAGAATCCTTTGGGTTCGAATTGTTGAGAGGATTTATTACTTTACCATTTACTGTATCAAAATTTCTTCTCTCATCAGGTCTCTTGTTACAAATTACAATATGAGTTGGTTCAAATCGAATTTTGGTTGGATGGTTATAAAGTTGGAAGCCAAGCTATTGAATTGCCAAAACGACTCCATTTTTTATCAGGTTCGATCCAAAAGTATCAAACTCAAGAAGTCTGAGTAGGTGAAAAATATTCCCTTAGTCCAAATAAAGGTTCAGAGAATAAGACAACTTATTCTTTTTCTACGAGAATTGGAAGGAGAGTTGCAGAGGAGAAAATGACTTGCTTCAATGAAGAAGACAGATCTTGGCAACCAAAAAAAAAAAAAAAAACGAAAATTAAGCTTAGACCCTTAAAATTCAATTTAAATCACCTATAATCCTTCCCTTTATTTTTCTATTTAAAATACCCAATTTTTTCAAATAATACCCAATGCCTGGATCCAACTAAGCAAGTTACCTAAGTTAATGTGTTATGGGGTGGTGTAACTAATGACACACGTTGACATATTAGAAACTTATTTAAAATTAAATATTAAATTCAACATTGACATATTAGTAATCTATAGGTAATTAACGTTTTGGTTTAATTAATAAATTTTGTTGTTGTTTTCCTTTTATGAATTATACAACTAGTAATCTATTTTATTATAGTTTTATGAATAATAGTGTACATTCTAATTATGTTGAAAAATAATTTGATAATCTATTTATTTTTTGTTTTTTTAAAAAACTTATATATATATATAAACCTATTTTTTCTCTAAATAATGGACCTTTTTTTTCTCTAAATAAAGCACCTATTACTTGTTTTATGAAAAATAATTTGATCATCTTTTTATTGTTTGTTTTATGAAAACAATTTTTTTTTAAATGAGTCTATTTTTCTCTCCAAATAATGTCTATTTTTTTTCTCTAAAATGTACCTAGTAAAACAATTTACCTAGTATAATGAACCTATTTTTTGGCTAAATTTTATATCTATTTTTTTCTCTAAATAATGTACCTATTACTTGTTTTATGAAAAATAATTTGATAATCTATTTATTAAAACAATAGTATATCCACAAAAAATTAAAAAAATAGTATAGCCTATTTAAAACGCATCAATGCGCTGCCATCCTTAAAACTAAAAATTAAAAATAGTATAGCCGAGCGGCTATAATTAAAAATTAAAATTAAAATTTAGTACAGCCGCCCGGCTATACTTAAAACGCATAGCCAAAAATACCCGATTCTTGCATCTTTTGGCTTTCTTGAGATAAAGTTGGTTCTATATGAAGGAAAATAAGATTGTTTCATTCATACAACTAATAGACTAGTTTAAAGGATTGTCGTGGCTTTACTCATTAAGTAATACTAAGAGTAATTTATAAAACGTAATAATCTTTTAATTTGATTTTAGAAGTCGACAAGAAAATTTGAATGGTGGAAAAAAAAATGTCCAATTGAACTATATATTTAGTTGAGGCTTAAACTAGCAATTAGTTCTCATTTGATGACTAGTATTGTATTGGATTGGATAACTCCTTATATTTAAAGCATATGTTTAAGGAACTGTTGGAAGTTTGAATGAAGTTCACAAACTTTTGTCCCACATTGGTAGAAAGAAGAAAAAGTGAAGTCTTTATAAGTGCACTAGCCCCACACTTAATAATTGGAGGTTGGTCCAAGTAGAAGCCAATTGGACTTCAAATTTGATTAGTCCATATAATATTTAAGAGAAGAAATTGACAATTCCCTTGTTTGGCAACTTAAGCACATAATTTATTAAATGGCACGAGGAAAAATTAACATAAAATAAATACATGTAAAATGCACCCAAAAACACACATACTATCAAATGAAAATATGTTCAACATAATTGAAATTATATATATGTTCACGTGAAGGGGCAATTTAGTATAATAATCATGCCATGTTTAGGGGTATTCCAAGGTGGCTCTCCTTTCATTCAAAATTAAAATCGATTTTGGGGATTTCCTGTGGTTAGGGTTCTTGAAATAAAAAAAATAAAAAAAAGATTTCTGATTCCGTTCAAAGGGTGCAAATTGAGGGCAAAGAGAGGATGAGAAATTCTTCATGCAGAAGTTGAAGAAGTGGTTGTGCCGGAAAGAACCAAGTAGTGCTTGCCAGCATTACCATCACCATGCATATCAAATTCACATCTCCAGCCAGGTAAGTGCCCTTTCACATTACCACCATGCTTCTTCAAATCCAGGAAGCTCATCTGCAAGAAGACTAGCAGCATCGGTTTTAATGTTTTTTTTTTTTTGTTGTCAAACTGTTTTAATTTTCTCACATGTGAGACATAATGCATAGAACTACCATGTATATCAAGAAGTGCTTGTGCGGACCCAAATGAAGAAATCTATATATATAAAGTAAAAGGTAGAGAATGGTGAATATTCAAAATACCAGAAAATGTTATTGGTTAATTCAAACATTAAGAATTAAAATTATTAATTAAATGAGGATAATATGGTAAATTCACATTTTTTAATTATAAAATTAAAATTAAAAACAAAATCAGATAATAGGTCATACTTTTATGGAACATAACTACCCATATTATCTTTTCTTAATTATACAAATAAAATAAAATAGAAAAAAGAAAACCAAATTGGCACATGCTTGAGTGTGTGCCAAATGGCTAGTGGTTAATAGTAAGCGTATTTGCCATCGAATGAAGAATTTCTCATCCTCTCATTGCCCTCAATTTGAACCCTCCCTCTATTGAGTCAAATCAAAACCCAGAAATCAAATTTTTTCAAGAACCCTAACCACAGAAAATCCCCAAAATCGATTTTAATTAAGATCGTAGGAGAGCCAGCTTGGCATATCCCTAAACATGGCATGATTCGATGGAATTGTCTCTCCATGTGAGGGGCACGTAACCAAAAAGTAACGGAAGTTAGAGACATTTGATAAAAATTGACGATTGTCTTTCAATTGCAAGAAATTAAAAACTATGTGGACAAAATTGATCAAATTGAAACAACAGGGACCAAAATAATAAAAGTGACAAATTATATGGACCAACTCCCTAAAAAAACGAAAATTGAAAAAAAAAAAAAAAAAAAAAAAACGACCGGTCACAAAATGAGACGAAATTCAAACTCGCTAAAAAACGAAGATTCAAAAGAAACAACCAGTCATAAATAAACATTTTTAAACCATCAAAATAATTTCCCTCCACTCTCTCTCTCCCGCTCCACACTCACAATGACTGACGCATACAGCAGTGCTCCGTACTCAAATCTAAACTGCAAACCCTGCAAACCCTAATTTGTTCAATCAATCTCTCTTCGATTCCTCCATTTCCGATGGCCTGCAGTGTCCCCGAGGATCCGCCCTGCAACTCCGAGACCGAAGCCGAGACCATAGCCCTCAGAATCAAGCAGAAGCGCTCTCGGCGCGTGAGCTTCGCCGACACCGAGATCACCTCCGTTCACATCTTCAACCGCGACGAGGATTACGACACCCCTCCCGACCCTAAGCCCCAAGCCAGCTGTCAAAACGAATCCGCTGGTCCCGAGAACGAGGTCGTAGGGTTTTTTAGGGACTTGGGCGGTGACAGCGACGATTTCAAGGACTCCGATGACGATGATGAAGACGACGATGGGAGGAAGTCATTTTTTAGGCCAATTGGGTCGCCCTCACCTGGGAGTAGTGTTCCAGGCTCTGCTACCTCCAATGACGGTAAGCTATAGATTACTTGGTATTTTTCTATTAATTAATTATTTTAGCTTATTGTTTGGTTATTGGGAAAATAAATTGTACACATATCAAAGAAAGGAAAGTTCTCGAGAGGATGCTAATTCTTCATGGCTTATGTAATTGTTGCATTACACATCTAATAGGATTCCTGTAATTCAGTTTGTTAACCGTCTAGTTGAGCTTGTTGAATGTGTTAATTTCACGTGTCTGCGCCAAAAAAAAATTTAGCGCTTTTTCTGATTTCTTTTTGCAGAAGACAATTTCTTTGGCCCTGTTTCAGCCAATTTCATTAGACCAGGACGGTTATCTGATTCCGCAGCCTCGGATGACATTCATGAAGCTACATTGGATACTACAGCATTTTCAATGCATTACCGTAGCCTTGCAAGGTCAGACACTGGAGGAGATCTCAAGACCCCAACTGCAGTTCGCCTTGCCTTTGAAGAGAAGACGCCAACCCATAATACCAACCCAACTGATTCTGGAAGCCTCATGTCCCTAACAAAACCAAAGATGCTTAGTCCTCAGTCTTTAGCGTCTGTTGATAAGGTCAGAAGTGGTGAAGATTCGAATGACATGAGTATTATAGAAGAAAACCCTCATAAGTATGATTATGGAAGACTGTCTCCCACACTAGATGCAATTTTGGCAGAAGGCAGCAAGGATCTGCATGCTGACTCTGTTAGTGCCCTTGCCAATTCAATGCCATCAAAGGGGGTTGAGGTTTCTGCGTTAGAAGAAAATGGGATTGGCCACATGGATCCAAGAAATGGTAGAATTACCGAACTGGGCAATTTTGGCACTCATGATATGCCCGCTGAGGCAGATTCTGTTTCTTGTATCAAGTTGAATATGGGAAATGATGGTGACATCTCATCTAAAAGAAGTCATTATCCATCTGTTGGTGACTCCGTTGATGGCCAAGTCCAGATCCCAAATCAGTTAAGCAAAGTAAGAATGTCTGTTTTAATTAAGATTTTGATAGTACTGTTCATCCATTTGTTGTGTTAAATGAATGTTTTGATATGTTTTCTATATGTTTTGGTATGTTATTAATAGCATCAGCTTAGAGTTATCATGCTTGAAAATTCATGACTGTTCCTATTCATACCGACTGTTTAGTTGCATAATAAGGCAATTTTTTCGCTTGCATTCTAGTATAATATTCTTCTATTATCTTACCTGTTTATTAACAGTACCGAAGTGCTAAAATTAAATAATCGTGAGTGTTTTAAGGGTGAACTGAAGCACAGATTTATTTATTTTTGCAGGTGAATAAGGAATCTTCTGAAGATGCATTTCCAAAGGGTATGGAAAAATTGGAGTTAGCTGCTGTTAATGGCAATGCCCTACTAAATACCAATAGCAAAGCACATCAGTTTGGTGTGTTTGCCCAGAATGAACCTGCTTATCAACAGTCAAGTCAACCCTCGGTACAGGAACATTCTTCTAATGTGAACATATACAAGTTTAATAGTGATCAGCATTCTGAACAACAATATGGATCACCAATCGAGGGGTCCATGTTCTTGTTATCTGGTAGACGGCAACAATCGGTTTTGAGTACTCCTAATTTAGCAAGAGATTCAGGGATGGTGACTCCTTCCTCAAAACAACCAGGTTCTCTACTAAATAAGGAACACACAAAACATGATGAGTGGGTTTCATCAATTCAGAAAAACATTTCCAGGTTCACGATTCCTGAGCCTTCTCCCTGTGCTTCTAGTCTCAAAGAGGGAATTGCCAAATTAAAATGTAGATTATTGAGTTACTCATCCGTGAATTCTCCCTTAAAAAAACCTGTTCTGGCTGATGTTAGCGAAGATCTCGAGTGCAAATTTTCCAATTCTCCTACTACTTGTTTAGAGAAGGAATTAGCTATACCTGATCTGAACAGTGGACATAAATTTTTGTTTAACATAGATAGCAATGGAAATGAGAACCCAGTAGATATCAGTAAGTTGGGGCAGGGTAAAGAGACCACAGACCTTGCTAAAGATGAAGAGTCTCTGCATAACATGCTCAGCTGTCATCATCAGGAAGTGAAAGGATACAGCATCTCTTGATGTCAGAAAATTCCACAGATGGAACATTGGTTTCTTCTGAAACTGATTCCCTATTGGCAGATGAGCGAGAAGATAATGTTCCCCATCTGCAAATTGAATCTGAAAAGAAATTCCAATCCCCTTCAAGGGGTGCAGTCATTCTCAAAAGCCCAGATAAAAAATTTCAAGCTGGACCTGAAACACCACATTTTAAACCATATGTTTGCAGAAGTATTAGTCAACCATCCCTTCAGGTCAGTCTCTGTAGATTTTCTCACTTCTTAACAGACATGGGCATTGCGCCTACATTTTATACTACCCAGCTTTGCTTGGGATTGTGCATGGACTGGTCATGTGAAGCATTCCATGCTAATTCCAATCCCAGTAGGCTGGGCGATGGGCTAAGTTTCACTCAAATTTGACAATTGCTTTGTTACAGTTTCCCATGCATCAGTTAGCTGCAGTTAATACTAGGCTGTTCTATATAAAAATATCATTATTAGTTGTTCTGTTGGTGTTTAGAAATTTGACATTTTGTTTGGCAAATGGTTAATGTAGAGCCCTTCGAGTAAAGAGTCAGCCCAGAACTCCTCCATGAAGGGGACAACTCAGAGTCCACCCCGGGAAAATCCAATTCGAAGTCCTTCCTGGAGAAAGGCAATTCAGAGGGCCTCCATGAAAGAGCCAAGTCAGAGTCTCTGCAGGCAAGAACCAACTCAGAGTCCTTCCAGGAAAGAGCTTACTCAGAGTCCTAGAAGAGAACCAATTCGTAGTCCCTTTGTGAAAGAGCCAATTCAAAGTCCCATCTTGAGAGAGGCAATTCGAAGTTCCATTGCAAGAGAGCCAATTGGTAGTCCTGCCATGAAAGAGCCAACTCAAAGTCCCTCAAGAAAAGAGCCATCTCAGAGTCCCTCAAGAAAAGAGCCAACCTGGAGTCCCTCAAGAAAAGAGCCAACTTGGAGTCCCTCAAGAAAAGAGCCAACACAGAGCCCCTTCAGGCTGGTTTCATCTTATGCGGTAGACATTGAGAATATGCAACGCTTTGTTGGGAAAGACCTAGTATCTCATGGCTCAAATTCAAATGGGCATGATGATTGTTATAGGGGAGTACATATTTCGCAAAGTCCATTTTCTGAACAAGATGCAGAGAATTCTGTTGGACGGAAACGAAAAAACCTAGAAATAATTCTTGATGATGGAGACTCTATATATAAGAACCCCAGAATCCAGAGTCCGAAAGTTCACAGAAGTGAGAACTATGATCCAGAGTTCATGTTGGGTCAGTCAAATATAGATCACAATGACAGAGAGAAGTTTGGGGCAGATACAACATGGAAGTGCTGGACTGATGTGTGTGTACTATTTCCTGATTTGCGCTAGTCTGCTTGAATAGCCAGGTTTTCTGGTAGAGATAATATAAAACCATTTATTTTCATTTTATATTTTTGACTTCAGAGTTTATCTTGCAGATTTTAGTAAAATTCTCCGGAGATACAGAGCAACTTCTTTCTCCATTGACAAGCAAACTAAGTTTAAGAGCAGTATGTGCCTTCTTTTTTTATACATTACATCCTTCCAAGCAAGATTTAAACTAGGTGATAGAGTTAGCCATCGCATGCTCAATTTTCCCTATGTTTTCTTGTAGTCTCATTATTGTTTTATCATTATCATGTAGATTGGTGTGCTTGAAGATATGTTGGTTCAGCTACTGAAGGCTAACAAATATGAGGCACTTTGTTCTAAAGTCCAGTCTCAGGTTTGCTGAACTAAATGATAAATGAGGTTCTGCCATGAACATATTTAGATATTATACTTGGAACACTGCATCCTATAAAGCTAATATAACTTCTACCTTTTCCCTTTTCTGCTAACACTGATATTTTATATCTGTGTACAGAAGGTCGACTACATCAGTGTTGGACATAAAAGGTGGTGTTGTTTATCCAGGAATGTTTGACTACGTAGTTTGGGTTTTCACCTGTCCTGGGATATTGTCTAGCTTAATAAGCATTGACATTAACCTTTGCAGGGCAGCTGAAGCAAGATTACTGCTTTCTAAATTAGTGTATGAAAAGGCAAAGTTGCAGTTAATGCATGTGAAGCGCGATAAGTTACAGGTTAACAAAACAAATTAAGTTGGTTCTCTAATGTTTTTCATATCTACATATGCATACAGCTTGTCACATGGCCTCATACTTTCCTGCAGAGTAGAGTGCAGCTCTTAAGCTCTGCAGTTCAGAAGTGTCAAATGCTGAAGTTGAGTTACACCCAGTGTCAGTCTAAACCTGGTAAACAGGAGACTCATGTTGATGGTAGTCATCGTCAATCCTCTTTAGTTAGTTCTGAGGGTGAACAAGAGGTAACCATCATTTTTGAGATTCTGGATCTCTTTTCTGTTTCCTTTGCTCTGGAAATTTTTTGTCTTCATGAATTTTTTAACAAGAGGGATATTAAATACATTGAGAAAACTGTTGCAAAGATTATAACTAAGAATAAAAGCTAGGGATCTTATTATAACTAAGAATAAAAGCAAGTTTGCTTCCCATGTTGGGGAATTTGAAGCTTTGAAGCAAGGACATAGGGCACACAAAATGACAGAATCCTAAACAAATTGTCCTGAACATTGTGAGAAGACGAGAGTAAATGAATTTTTTAAGTATTTTTAACTATCACTCATAATATTGTTTTTCTGTAGTAGAAATTTGATTTTAGTAATTTGTATACAGATCCTACTTTATTGGGAATAAATCAACGGTGTTACAAGTACTGTTGTTTTAAGTTTTCTTGTGAACCAAACAGAGCATATTCACTAAGATGCATAAACAAATTTTACGAAAGATGCGGTAAATAAAACTATGAGTGGAATTTGAAGAAAGTAACATGTTTCTGCTATAAATAGTTCCAGAAAATTAAATAAGATGAATACAGCCTAAGAGAATGATAATATAATAGGCTGTGGATGCTCTCCTTCCTTTGTTTTTGTCAAACAACGAGTTCAGCTTATAGATGCCATAAAAAAATTATGTGAAGATAACCTAGTTATTTCAAGTTGTGAATTTTTGTTTGTATATATCTTTCATTTGTCAGGGCTCCTGTAATAATGTGAGCACAATGAGGCGAGAAGTTAAAGCTTTAGATAGACAAATAAAAAGCTTAATCAATTTCTTTCACACCCATATCAAGTTGAAAGGAGAACCAAGTTGTGCCGATACTATTGCTTTAGTTAATCATCATCTCGAGACAAGAACGTGTTGCAGGTTTATACATCAGGATTTGCAGGTATTTTTTATTCATGCTAGGATTTTCTTGAGACCAAAATAAATGTCTTATCTCACTAAGAGACACCTGTCATTTCAACAGCTATGGAATGTTGATCATTTTGAGGTTAAGAATGGCCATTACAACATTCATCTCAGCTATCATGGTTACATCAACCAAAGGTCTTTTCTTTGTTCCTTTTTCTTGGTTTTCTTTTCTTTATTCTATTATATTCATTCTTGAGGCTAAGTTACTTTTTATTTATTTATTACCAAATTCAAGTATTACGTGTGTTTTCATCTGTAAATAGGTTTATGGGTACAATGGGTCCAGCATCAAACATAGTCCTCTCAAACAAATTGAATGATGTAAAAATCAGAAAGGTAATGAAGTCAACAAGTTCTCTCTTCTTCTTTTTTCTTTCTTTTCTTAAGGGTTTAATTTTTCTTTTCTTTTGTACATCAGAACTTCCCAAACATGGATGCTCAAGTTGCATTTGCTTTTGTACTAAATTCTGAGGCCACCAAGAAAAGTGTTGATTCGAGATATTTGGCACAAGAAACACAAGTATGTTGCCATTTAGTGAATGGAATTTTGGGTGCATTAATTTATAGGAGATTGTTGTGCTGCATTTTTGTTCCGATAGGTTGTGGACTATGTATGGCTGTCAAATTGGATAATATGTGTCTAACTCCACATTCTAGGCTGCTCTTTACTTCACTCTATTCTGTAATGCAGGTAACCCGTTCATTGCTATGTAATTTGCTAGATGTGGTTGAGGAAGTGGACCTGGCACGATCTGAGATTTATAATTTGATCCAGACAAGTTTTCAAACTCCATCCGGTAACAAATATGTTCTCATTATGAATGATAATCAATTTATTTATCTGAACTTTCCTCATCATTCACTGAATTAGTTTTAACCCACCTTAAATACTTAAATTTTAGTATATATTCTTGTTTTGTAGCTGAGCAGCTTGATATGCAGCTTTGTTTCCTTAACTGTAAGAGCGGTAGAAAGGTGACACTGACTCTTGACATGACATGTTTGAATAGGTACAGTCCTGTCCAACTTCATTAATTATCTTTGTTGCTTATTTAATTTGGCAATTTATGCCATTTTAATTGTCTTGATATCTTACTTGGTGAATGGTTCGTATAATAAGCAATGCATGTCGCTGCTGCAAATTTCTATTGGCCTTTTAGTTTTTGGGCCCATATATCTTTTGTTTGTCACCTGTATACATTTTTACTTGGTCCAACAATGACATTCAAATTCTATACAACACTATTCTCTGCTGGTTTTTGTTAAGTTTTTTACATGGCGACTTGTTGGTATCATCATGTATATGTGTCTACTTCCTAGGCCCTCAATGTGATGGAGAACTCTCTGCTTCTGTAGAAACCAATGTGAAACTACTTATGATTGTATACAAATGTTTGTTGTTGCTTTGTGCCTTGTTTATTGTCGGTTGAAAAAACAGCTTGCTGGGGTTGAGTCTGTCAACATTCTCTATGCCATTCGTACCTCGATGTGCTTTATATGTTGATATATGTGTTACATTGTTTCGAATACATAGTGACATGTTTGTTGGTGTCTGGACAGTGGGATTTATCCTTCAGAGATCCTTCTGCATCAGATACAGCCTTCCATATCTGCAGCAGAAGTGGTGCTTCCACAGCCACTTTTAGCTGAAATAAGAGCTGTAGCTGAGAGCCTTGAATCTGGACATATGAGGATAATAAGGCTCTGTAAGTGTATTTCCCAAGTGGTGGAACTTCACACGGACGATAATTCCCGATAGAGGTCAAAGGTGGCACCAACACATCGCTGGATTTTTTGCATGCCTGGACTATGATTTGTTTGTTCTCTCTTTAGATATTATGTTGAGGTGACCCTGTATATTTTAGCTGAAGATAGTTTCCATTACTTTTATTATCCACAGAAGCATAAGAGGCTTTCACGTTTCAATGAGACTCAAATAGGTAAATGTATGCACAACCATCCTGATGTGCTTCTCCTATCAAGCATTTACAAGTAGAATTAATATTCAAAAGGTATAACAATTATAAATAAACCAAAAACTCCAAAAGTATTTACCCCAAACGCATAATTAGAACAGGGAAATGAAAAAGTATAGGTTCCGTGTTGAGCTAGCTGCCCTGACTAGAGGCATACAAATTGTACAGTTGACGGAACCATCTGTTTAAGTTGGTGCATAGCATGATCCCTCGCCTCTTCTTCCTCCTTGATATCTTTAATTTTCCGATTGTAACCGGTCGGATGACGACACCAACGCCTTACAGGATCAATAACAAGTTTCTCGAGTGCAACAACATTTTCTATCAAGTACATGACATGCTCAACAGCATTTATACGACCACGATACCCTACTATTTCTACTATCTTGAGGTTACGATGCGGGCATTCAGGAGCTTTTAACATCTTCGGTGGCTCAAATAGTAAGATTCTCAACTCCTCCCGTAACTCGCATGATAATAATTGCAACTTCTCCTCCAGTGGCTTGCATGGTGGTGGTGGTGGTGAGAATTCCAACTGCATCGACAAATAAAACAATTTATTAATCAAGGCATATATCAAACGTTCATCAACAAATTCATAACCCTTCAAGGAATATCTAGCCACCTTAAGTACAAGCCTCTGCAAGGAAGGAGATGCTTTCAAGAAAGAATTTAAATTATTAAGAGCCCATTGATCGTCGGCCGGGACTATTAGCTCCAAATGCTTCAGATTTGGCAACGTAGGAACAGGGAACGCGCATCTATACTGAAAGAAAGCCAAACACAGAGTAATTAAAAGGGACACGTAATCCAACAAAAAGAAAAGAAAACCAACACATCATAATTAAAAATACTAGCATCTCCATTGATATTCAACGTGAGGGATAGTTGAGAAAGAAAGCTTGAAAGTTGGGTGAAGGCAAGACTCAGAAAATCAGCACCACTGGAACATTCCGAAAACTCATAGAGGGATACCTCAACAAGCGAGGGCATGTTACTGAGAAGCACATTTATCTTGAGTCCAACATAGACAAATGACACAAGGTTTGCGTCATAAATCTCAATGCTATCAAGGCGAAGACAATGTTTTATCGATAAGAACTTTAATGAAATTGATGGACGGACAACTCTTAAATCAACCAAGTTTGTGGCACTATGTATTGATAATCGTTCGAGAGTTGGACAATTGGACATGAAGTACTCAACAACTTCTCGGGTCACATCAACATGTTCCAAATGAAGAACCCTGAGGAACTCGAAACCACCGTATCTGCAACGAAATGGCGTCAAGGAGGACCCCTTTTCCTTTTCATCAAGACCTAACAGTGTGCATGGAAAAGCATAGGAATCCTCGTACATAACACCATACAGTAACAAAAAGTCCAACACAAACACTCGAACTCTCTTTTTCATTGCAAATTGAACCCATTTATCAATGGAACTTGCAAAACGACGATCTAGATCAAAGCAAACTCTGAATTGTTCAATATTTGAGCCTCTATGTTGTTTCAACACATGGTCGACCCAATTGACGTATCTACAACTTTTTTGATTTTTAAATTCCCGTTTGAGGGCACGGAAGTCGTTCAAAGTATCATCACTATCAAAATAGAGATTTGTAGTAAAGCACCTTTCATAACGCCATCGCTTAGAAAGAATACTAGTAGCTGCAGCTTCCTTCAGAGGCAACAAAGATGATATGGTACCACCAAGAATGTCATGTGGCAATTCACTGATTCTATCGGTTAGGTTGGACGCATCCTGGACAAGAAAACATTAATAAAAAAATACTAGTAATTTTCATGGTTACATTAAATTAGTAATTATTATTTTACGAAAAACAAAGAAGCCAAACCAAATTTTGCACCAGTTAGATATCTAGAAATTATATACATATATATATATATAATTGCAATTAGCTATCTGGGAAATTAAAAAGAAAACAAAAGTTGAATAACAGTTTTTCATACGTACTTTACGTGTTAGATTATATATATACCTCCATTGCAATTTTGCAATCTGCGAATGGGTGATGGCTGGCTTTGGCTTTCTGGGGAGCGAGGTGACGAAGGCCGCGTCGAGGCGTGGTGTGTGAGAGTGAAAAACTGTTTGTTGTGAGCCAATCGAATAGTTTGCATCCATCTATTGTGTCTTGCGTTTTTGTCTCTTTTTATATATATTTTCTCTGTGGGCTTCTAGTACTACGCCGTGGTTTAGAGCCGTGGGCCCATCCTTCTTTGTTTCTTTCTCCATGTTGGGCTCTGACGTCTTGCATGGCATACTTCCTACCGTATGCACCCAAAGAAAAGAAAAAGAAAAAAGTTCCTGTTTTTAATATGCAGCAACTTGGAAGCCAAATGGGAAATTAGGGATAACACTCGAACTAGTGGGTTGCTTGCAAATTGTTCCATGTTTGAGGCTCTATGTTGTTTCACTGCATGATTGGTCCAATTGATGTATCTATGATTTTTCTAGTCTTTTTAAATATTGTCATTAAAGCTGACAGAATTCCATTAAAAAAAATAAAAAAATACTAGTATATATGCTGCTAACAAGATCGGTGTTCTCAGGGATTAATGTATGATTGGATGCAGCTTGCTTCTTTATCCAACTGGCATCCTCAAGAGAGGTTGGATCTCCTACGCTTTTGAGATACAAGATAGGTATTGCACTTTTCTCCCCTATTCACATTGGGAATTTCAAGGGCAAATATGTAAGAATGAGATGCTACTTTCTCATCCAGTACATGTTGTTTGAAATCTCATTTAGAATAGTTTGTATATCAATGCCATATGACCTATGATGCCTTCAATTTATTTCAAAACAGAGCTGCAAACCTCTCTTCGTTGTCTCATTAGATTGTTTTGTATCCAATTTTTCATCTGAAGAGAATATAGTGCTGACTGATATATATCTCATAGCAGAAGAGCATGGTTGTCAAGTGCAATGAGAAAAAGGTTGTAATTGGGTTTAGTTCATAATTACGATAGATACATTTTGGAAAGTAAATTCTTATACAAGCAATTTTATACTATGAAATTCAACATTTTTTAATCCACAAAATGTTGGTGGATCCCTAATTTATTTTTATTTTTTTGTATTTATGGGTTTAACTAGTATTATTTCTTATATAAAAAATTCATTTTTTATTCTTGCCTAATGAGCTAAAAGCTGGAAATTATTAGAATGGGAGGTATGTGGAAGAATTTAAATTCTCATTACCCAATATCACTTGTATAAATCAAATAATTGAAGAAATAATTCTAGTCCAATAGGCTAAAGTGGTATTTTAGCCCTAAACCCTAAAAGAATATAAAAAAATTGTATATTTAAACATTCTCTTTAAATATATTCTAATATTTTAAAAGTATAGTCGCACCGTGTTTTAAAGCCTTGAGCCCATTTTCTTTATTTTGGGCTCTGAATATAATGTACACAAAGAAAAGAAAAATAAAAAATTCCCAAACTTTTGACCAAGGTTCCATTACAATTGCTAGGTGTTAGATTATATAATAAATATTGGTCTTGAACAAAATTCCATGTTGTTGGGAGTACCATTTCATCCATTAAATATGGCTCTGGTGCTGTTGTACTCTGTTAGAGCATCTCCAATTTTGGCTATTTTAACATAAAAATCACTCAATAAATGAAACCATTTATTGGAAGCCAAAGTGAAAGAACAAAAAATTGACGAAAAATCATGGGAAAATTGAAACTTCACAGCAACTATCATCAATCCAACTCGACTGAATAATATACTTTTCATGTACTCTATACAGGATTTCCTTACAAATAGTACTACTATCAACAATAAATAGTCAATATCTGGTTTAAGTTTTTTTTTTTGTGTGTGTGTGTAGATTCATGTGTTTCCTCATTGCATTATTCTTTTGGATTTACAATTAATAGTCACTATCTGGTTTGAGGCCCAAGCATCTACCTATGTAAGTGATGCATCACCATAGGGGTGGATCAAGATAAATATTTACTTTTTAATTAGTTATTTTATGAGATATTTTTATTTTCTTATTTATGTAGTTTTACGGTATCTTTTATTATTTATGTGCGATTTTATAATTAATTAGTTTACTTTTGGACCAAGTAGCCTTTGCAACTCAAGTTTTGTAAAGCCTATAAATAAGGTTAATGTAATAGTTTATTTGTGGTACGGATTTGCTACGATATATGTGAGTTTGCACTAGCCCTAGACTTCGGTGTTTATGTGTGTTGTTAGTGACCTATGTCTAGACCCCGATCCTCATCAATTGGTATCAGAGCTAGGGCTTAAGATCAGCGTTCTTGAGGAGATTTTTTTAATGGAAGGTTGTGACGACAACTACAATGACATGGAGAAAAACACTAGGAGGATTCTACGACAACTTACGGAACGCATCGAAGCTTGAACTCGGATAGGTAAGATTTTTGATAGGGAGAAGGCGTGAACCCTGATCTGAACCGCATAACTCGCATCAACACTCAAAGTCGGGGAAGTCTCGACTGAGAGTACAAGGGAGATAGCCATTTTCATTGTTGCGCTCTACTGTGTGAGTCAAGTGAAAAGGGACAACGTGATTCTCATTGTGCATCTTGTTTTTCGTCAAAGTTATTAAATTTATATTTACCTCCAATATTTGGACCTGTGAGTTAGGGATGATGTAATTAAGAAAGATAAATTGTGAGCTAGGGTAATACGGAATATTACAACGCTTCAGCAAAGACAAGTTGGGCTTGCAATTGTTGTCACAGTGAGAAAGCAGTCTTTGTTCCAGGAATGCTGCCTCACCAGGATTCTCACGAATTGCCCGACGTCCAACCAACTGTTTCTCCTTCTTTGCAAGTAAGGGTGGGCATTCAAACTGAAAAATCGAGCATAAAAAAATGAAAAAAAATCGAGTTAACAAAAAATCGGACCTAGTAGTAGACGCATGGTTATTAATATGATATTCTGACTTGACATTAAGATCAGGGCTTGAAGTTTAGATTTTCCCCTATTAGATCTAGGTGGAAGAGTATATGGTACCATATTAGGTGATTCGGGGACTACCTCGAGAGCTTCTTCATCACAAGACAACTGAGAAGATGGTAGGGCATGCGGGTTGTATTTTGCAGTTGCTCTTCGGAGACATCATGAGCCACTTCTGGCACCAAATGCTCATCGGGGTCTTCTTTGTTTGAAAACGACCGCTCGCATATAGGGAGTCGACCGGTCGAGTCACATATGCTTTCAGCATGTTCTTCTCAGTTTAAGAACGACCAGTCGAGAAGACTGGTCACTTCCTCTTGGCTTAAAAATGACATGTCGACATTGTTGGTCATCTGGTAAACATTACTGGTTGTTTTCGAGTCTTTACCTCGCGTTGAAAATGACCGGTTGATTGGAACATCTTGATCGGTTGCTTGCCCTAATTCTTCCTTGTCTTCTTCAAAGCACGATTTCTTCTCTTCACTTCCCCTCTTCCCCTGAAGAAAAGGGCTAGTAAGAGCCATAAAGTAGGATAAGTCTTCACGAAAGGTGACATCCATGGTGACAATGAGTTTTTAGGTAGAGGGTGGTAGCACTTCTATCCTTTTTTATTGTAGCCATAGCCAACAATCACACAACGGAGGACACAAAGATCTAACTTACTCCGTCAATGAGAAAAAACATGAGCATATACAACACAACCAAACATGCGAGGAGGCAGCTTGAGGATAGTAGGAAGAGAAATGTGATGAGCCAAGGTATCTAGTAGAGTCTAAAAGTTCAGAACATTGCTAGGCACTTGATTAATCACATATACTGTAGAGAGAAGAGCATGACCCTATAAGTAGTGAAAGATCGATTTATCAACCATGTAGGCACAGGTAACCTCAAGTATATAAAGATTCTTTTGTTTGGAAACACCATTTTGTTGCGGAGTGACAGAGATGGAGGTCTGATGAATGATGTCGTGGTCTTGGAAAAATTGAGCCAATATATTGTTCACATACTCCTCACCATTATCGGACTGGAAAACCTTAATGGAGACCTGAAACTGGGTGGTGATCATAGCATGAAATTCACGTATTGTGAAGGTAACATCACTTTTATGGGCGAGCAAATACACCCAAGTCATACGGGTGCAGTCATCAATAATGTAACAAACAACGTCTTGCCAGTGGAAGAGACTTTAGTAATACCCCAAACATCAAAGTGAACCAAAGTAAAAGGTAATTCATTCTTATGATCACTTGAGGGAAAGACAGTTCGATGGGTTTTGGCCAATACACAGGTTTCACACTGAAACTTAGGATCATCTAAAGCACAAAAAAAAAAAAAAAAAAAAAAAAAAAAAAAAAAAAAAGGAAACAAGTGTTGAAGATAGCCAAAATATGGATGTCCTAAGCGACGATGCCATAGCCAAATGTAATGTTGATCTCGAACATGTGAGTTGGGACTAGCAGAACGAGCATGAGCTGAACTTAGTGGTGATGAGATCGTCAAGGAAAACAACCTCTCTCTCCATTTACCGTGCCCAATTGTCTTGTAAGTCGTAAGATCTTGAAACTTACAATAAGAAAGATTGAAAGTAGCATAACATTAATGTGACTAAAGCAATTTATGAATCGACAATAAATTGCAATTAATAGAAGTAACAAGTAGTGTATAAGGTAAAGATAAAGAAGGGGAAAGAGGTATAGACCCTTCACCATCAACATTAGAAGGGACTTCATTAACACTAGTAATATAAGGGTTACGAGACTTAGAGGACAAGGTAGAGAAAAGATTAGAGTCAAAAGTCATATGATCAATTGCACTAGTATTTATTATCCATGTAGTGAAGCATCTACCCGAGTCGAGGTTGGAGTCAGGAAGTAAAGTATGAGATGATGAAACATCGGAAGTCACGATACAAGCAGCTTTGGGAGCCAAGTTGTGGGTCTTGAGTGCATCCCACCACTCGGGATAACCATGGAGCTTAAAAGCACTTCTCAACAAGGTGATCACCATCAAAATGGGTGCACTTTTGAGTCCCATTTGCATCATTGGGTTTGGGACCACGGGTAGT